GCTATGAAGGATGGGTGGAGGTGGAAGAAGGGTTGTGGCAAAAGCAGAGGTTGGCTATGGAGGCCGGGTGAAGGTGGGAGAAGGGTTGGGGTAGAAGGAGAGGTTGAAAAGGGAGAAAGGGCTTGGGGTAGAGGAAGAAGTTGGGTACGGGGAATGTGTGGAGGTGGAAGAAGGGTTGGGGTAGAAGGAGAGGTTGGCTATGGAGGACAAGTGAAACTGGGAGAAGGGTTGGGGTAGAAGAAGAAGGTGAAGGCTGGCTCTGGAGGTTGGCTGCAGGAGATGGAGGGTGGAGGGTAAAGGAGAAGGTGAAGGCGAAGGAGATAACGGGTGAAGTTGAAAACGAAGGTGAATGTTGGCTATGGAGGTTCTGTGACAGAGATGGAGGATGAAGGTTGAAGGACAAGGTGAACGTTAGCTATGAAGGTTGGGTGAGGGAGATGGAGGGTGGAGGGTGAAGGTGAAAGTGAAGGTTGGCTATGGAGGTTGGGCGAAGGAGACATGGTGTGGAGGGTGCAGAAGAAAGTGAAGGCTGGCTATGGAGGTTGGGCGAGGGAGACATAGGGTGGAGGGAGGAGGTAAAGGTTGGCTATGAAGGTTGGTGAGGGAGATTGAGAGTGAAGTCTGAAGGAGAAGATGAAGGTTGTCTGTGGAGGTTGGATGAGGAAGATGGAGGGTGAAGAAGAAGCAGAAGGCAGAAGGTGAAGGTCGCCTATGGAGGCTAGGTGAGGGAGATGGAGGGTGGAACGTGAAGGAGAAGGTGAAGGTTGGCTATGGAGGTTGGGTGAGGGAGATGGAGGGTGGAAGGTGAAGGAGAACGTGAAGGTCGGTTATGGAGGTTGGGTGAGGGAGATAGAGGGTGAAGAGTTAATGAGATGTGAAGGTTGGCTAGAAGAGGTTGGGTGAGGGAGATGAAGGGTGGAGGGTGAAGGAGAAGGTGAAAGTTGGCTATCAAGGTTGGGTGAGGGAGATGGAGGGTGGAGTGAGAGGGTGAAGATTGGCTATGGAGGTTGGGTGAGGGAGATAAAGGGCGCAGGAGAAGGAGAAGGAAAAGGTCGACTATGGAGGTTGGGGAAGGGTGGGGAAGCTGTTCAAAGGTAGGATCCTCGTTCGTTCCGACTTTTTTTTATCTCCCGAGCCGGCCTCGGAGGTGCGAGCCTCGTGTTGCTCCATTTGACCAAGTGTGTTTAGATATGGCTATGGAGATTGGGGAAGGGTATGGTAATCACTTGGTAGTAGGGGATGGCCTTAGATATGGCTATAGAGGTTGGACATGGGTAGGGAAGTAGTTCGGAGGTGGGGGATTGGCTTAGATACAGCTTATGGAGGTTGAGGTAGGGTTGAACTACAGCATGGTTCAAAACATGTCTAAAGCAATACCTAACCTTATCTCAAGAGGCTCGACTCTTGCAAGAGCCAACAAAGAAGTACTTCGGAGGTAGGGGACGAGCTAGATATCACTATGAAGGTTGGGGAAAGGTAGGGGACTAGTTCGGAAGTAGGGGATGGGCTTAGGTACGGCTATGGAGGTTGGGGAAGGGTAGGGAAGTAGTTCAGAGGTAGATAATGGGCTTAGATATGACTATACCGATAGGGGAAGGGTAGGGGAAGGGTAGTGGAAGGGTAGGGAAGCAGTTTGTAGGTGGGGGATGGGCTTAGATATGGCTATGGGAAGTAGTTTCCAGGTAGAGGATGTGCTTAGATATGGCTGAAGTTGGGAAAGGGAAGTAGTCCGGATCAGGGGATAGGCTTAGATACAACTAGGGAGGTTGAGGAAGGGCAGGGAAGTAGTTCGAAGGTACGGAATGTGCTCAGATGTGGCTATGGAAGTAGGGGAATCGTAGGAAAGTAGTTCACAGGGAGGGGGGCGACTTTATATACGGCTATCAGGGTTGGAGAAGGTTAGGAAGGTAGTTTGGGAAATAGGGGATGGGCTTAGATATGGCTATGGCAGTAAGGGAAGGGTGCGGAAGTAGTTTGGAAGTAGGGGAAGGGCTTTGTAGGGAACTAGTTGGGAGGTAGGGGAGGGTAGGAGAGTAGTTCTGAGATAGGCAATGGGCTGAGACATCTCTATGGAGGTAGTGAAAGGTTAGGGGAGTAGTTCAAAAGTAGGGAATAGGCTTAGATATGGCTATGGAGGTTGGGGAGGAGTAGGGAAACAGTTCGGAGGTAGGGGATGGACGTAGATAAGGCTGGAGTTAGGGAAGGGTAGGGAAGTAGTTCAGAGCTAGGGAATGGGCTTAGATGCGGCTACGGAGGATGGGGAAAGGGGGGGAAGTAGTTTGGAGGTAAGGGGATGGGTTTAGATACCACCATGGTGGTTGGGGAAGGGTAGCGAAGTAGTTCGGAGGTGGGGAATGGGCTAAGATATCGCTATAGAAGCAGTTCAAAAATGGGGGATGGGCTTAGATATGACAATGGAGGTTAGCGAGGAGGTTGGGTATGGAGTTAAGGGAAGACTAGGCAAGTAGTTCGAAGGTGGGGGAGGAGCTTAGATAGGGCTATGAAGGGTCGGGAAGTAGTTTGGAGGTCGAGGATTGGCTTATATATTGCTGTAAGGGTTGGCAAGGGTAGGAAAGTAATTTGGAGGTAGGGGGCAAGTAGGTGATTCGTAACAAGTTAAGTCCTGTCTAAGGGTAGCTGAGGAGGTTGATAGGGGGGGCAGAGGGGGCTGTTGTGATATGCTACAGGTGTAGTAGGTAGGTTATAGGTAGGAAGTTCACGTTTGGGCTGAACATAGCTTCAAAAGTTGATCGGGGTTGAGAGGGGGCTGTAGTGATAGACTATAAGGTGGGCAGGTATCGCGGTGGTGGGAGGTTTGTTAGTGATAGCAGAAGCTAGGTTTGGGCTAAATATACCTTGGGAAGTTGATTGGGGCGGGCGTATGGTTATAGACTATACGCGGCGAAATGTGGCCTTGGTCGGGGGTAGGAAGTCAAGTCTGGGCTGAACAAAACAGTTGATAGGAGGGTTAGCAGGGGCTATACCCATGGACTATAGGTGGGGAGGTATGGCAGTGGTAGGGAATAGGTAGCATAGGTAAAAAGTTAAGTTTGGGCTGAACATAGCTTAAAAAGTTAAGTGGTTGGCTAAAGGGGGCTATAGTGATATATTATAGGTGGGGAGGTATTACGGTGGTAGGGTGTCAAGTTCCAGGTTAGGTGGAGATCAGAGAACTCAGCAGAGGTAAAGGACGGGTAGGAAGTGGGTGAAGGGCGAAATCAGGGGCAAAAGGCGAGCAAAAAGTGAGAACGAGAAAGGATTCTAGACTAGACGAAAACTTGCAGCAGTCTTCTTTTCTTTTCTCCCCCCATTCTTATCCTCGGTTATCTGTCCTGCTCCCTCTTCCCATCCTCCTTTGTTACCTTTCCTCCATCTTCTTCTTGCCTCTCTTTCCTTCTTCCTTTGCTTTTGCTGTCTCTTCTTCTCCTCCTTTTCTTCCTTCCCCTCTCGTTCTTCCCTTCATCTTCCCATTCCTTCCCATCCTCTCCATTTTTCTCCCCTTCCCCCTTCTTCTCTTCTTGACTTTCTCATTTCTTCTTTTCTTTTCCTCCTTTTCTACTTCTCCTCCTCCTCCTCCTCCTCCTCGTCCTTTTGGTCCCTCCTCTTCTCCTTCCTCCCCTGCTTCTCTTCCTTCTCGTTCTCCGTCTTCTTTATTTTTCCCTACTCGTTTTCAACCTACTTCTATCAGTGAACTCTGTGTACATTCTACTGCAACTTCTGTTAGTCTGGGATCTGTAAATTCTTTTGCAATCTTTTGTTCGCCCCCGATGTCTATTTTGCTGCACCCTCTGGTTAGTCTGGTGTCTGTCAATTCCGCTGCAATTCTCTGTTGGTCTAGGATTTGTTGATTCTGCTCTGAACTTCACATCTACGGTCGATCAATTCTCCTGTAGCTTTTGTTTCTGCTGCAAGCGTTGTTCAGTCTAGGATTTCTCAATTCTGCTGCGAACTTTTTTTTAGTCAAGGATTTGTCAATTCTGCTGTAGGAGAAGTAAACAAAGAAGAAGAAGAAGAGGAACAAGAAAAATTCCTCCTGTACGCAAGAACAAACTGGCTTAGCAGAGTACAGTGACATCTCTTCCTTAACCAGTCTGAAGCCGCACATCCCACCTAGGCTCAGTCCGATGTAAGCAGTGTCTCCCCCGGACCCACCAAAGCTCCTCGAGCAGCACTTCACCTTTCTAGGCAGCTCCAAACTTCGGGGGAGAATTTCGTCCAGCAACCTCGCACTAAGATAGGTCCCTTGTGTATACAGATGGAATGGGTGACATGAGTACTGGTGATTGGAAGGGATGGAAGCAGCATGAACACAGGCCATTTCCACCTTAACATTCGCTTTGTGAGTTGATGGTGTGGAGGGGAAGGGCGAGTAGAAGTAGGGGGAGACAAAAAAAGATAGTGGGCTACATGGCAACGATGGTGGGGGGGGGGCCAGCCTGAACTTGATCGCATCCCGTAGTCTTGCATAGATTTGCTGGTACTACTTACTCATAGGGTGAGTCATAAGAGAAGTCGTAGCACTGTGGCAGGAGAACCCGGGATGGCACGGAAGTGACAGCAACGGCACATGGGCATTGCATTCCGCACCGTCACTTGTAGAATTAGCCTTTCACTACTTCGGTCACATTGTATGTAGATGGCTGTCAAAGGGTGGCAAGCGAGATGGGGGAGGGGAAGGGAGGTTAGAAGGAGCACTAACAAAAAAATGTTGCGAGGGGACTGGAAGTGAGGAGAGGACCGTTTACACACACCTCACAGCAAACACGCGAGCACAGAGCGCGAGTGCACACAGACGAGAGAGAGAGAGAGAGAGAGAGAGAGAGAGAGAGAGAGAGAGAGAGAGAGAGAGAGAGAGAGAGAGANAGAGAGAGAGAGAGAGAGAGAGAGAGAGAGAGAGAGAGAGAGAGAGAGAGAGAGAGAGAGAGAGAGAGAGAGAGATTGCCAGATGTGTGACCACATAACATGTCGACAGCCCCTTTTTCCGTTATCCTTTCTACGAGTGACGTGGCTATTGAACGATCAACATGAAGCGACAGACATCCCCAAAAGAATCTTTGCCACGGCCCTTGAGAACAATCATGTATCGACCAGATTTTGAGCAACATCCATTGACAAACGAGGTTTGCTGCCTCCCAGCATCAACGCAGCGAACATAACCGTTTCCATCCATCCTGCTGCTACTAATTGTATGCAATGAGGCAGCAAGCCATTGCAAGTAGATATAAACACGAGCAAACAGTACCTGGAAAGAACCAAGAAGGCTTTCCACCAGGAAAAGAAAACACCTCTATCTAGCCTCCCTTATTTCAAGTCTACAGTACCCCCCTCTTCATCGTGCAACACAAAACCAGCAAAACTTCAGGCGTTATAAGCCCCCGAGCAGCCTCCCTCATCTTCACCCTCCTACACTCCTCTCCCCTGTGCTAAGCAAACAAGGCACAGCTGCGAGCTGAGGCAACTCGTAGTCATCCCGCTGCTACATCCTTCATCCTTAATATTGGCTCTCATACTGAGCTCCACGATCACCTCCCCGACTTGTTCCTCTCGTCTTCGTCATTCTCAGGCCATTTGGGGTACACCCGCTTGTATAAGCTGACACACACAGAATCGCGCTGCTGCAGGATGCCATCAAACATGCACTTCATATTCCCATGGGTACCGACAGGCTCTCTGATCCTTCCCCGTCGCCCATACTTGGTCCAGAGCTCAAGGGGTCTGAACCATCGCACATCCTCCGGGTTGTGGAACATGAACCGGACAACTGCCTTCTTCTTGTGCACTCTCAGTGGATACCCCGATAGCACAATCTTCTTCAAAATAATACGATCAGCGTCTGGGCCTCGCAAAACTCCCGTAGCCACGAGCTGTGGCTCCTGCCCCGTCCCCATCCGCATTCCCTTCTCATCATTGCCATCTGCAGATACGCCCGCCCCACTTACCACACTGCTCACTCCATCCTCGCCCGCTGCGCTCCTAGATCCCATCCTCTCCTTGAAGACGAGCACAGGGGCAGGTGGGAACATGATCGGCGAAAAGATTGAGCCCACAACATGCCTTCCTGGGTGCAGAAACCTCTCAAACTTGTGTTTATCCATCTGCATGTCATCTGAGGAGAAAATAGGACGTGCAGAGAACTGCCTAAACCCAATGTGGAACGTCAGTTTTTCCTTGGACTTGACTGGCTCACGGCAACCATCCCACTTCTTCAGGCTGAAGTGGAGGACTGACATCTTTGACTCGTGCTGCAGCAACCCGACCGCCATTGCGGGCAAACCTACACCGACGGTCCTGCTGATGAGTGCCTCAGCGGCTGCACGGGGAACACCCACAACATGCAGCCGTACGTACGTCCCCGGGGCCACAGTCCCAGGGACCTCCATACGATCCACAAGGTCTGCTTTAGCATGCACATGCTTGAGCGTCCGCTTGTAATCATCAAATGCAAATATCTTGGCATACTCCCGTGGAAGAGATTCCTTGGGGTCCCACGGACTCGTGCGGAATGACTTTAATCCTCTGTACTTGGCAAATCTCTCTCTTGCTGGGATGTCCGTGGGTGTATCCACCTCATCAGGGAACTCTTCATCCTCCCGCGCAGCAGCCTTAAGGCGCTTAATCTCCGCCTCCCTCTGTGCTGGAGTCATTCCATCTTCACCATCTTCAGTGCCATCCATTAAATCAGTGCCTGTCTGCTCGTCGGTCCACATCTCACTTTCAGCATCGCCTTTTCCATCGTCCTCCATGTCAAAGTCGCCACCGCTTGCTCGGTCCTCACCATCCCCCTCATCCCCATCTAGCCTCTCCATATCATCAGCTTCCTCCTCATCGCCTCTCCCTTCACCGTCATCGTCAGAGTCAACGATCCAAGCAGCCTGGTAGTCGGACAGTCCCTTCAATCTCCTCTTCCTCCTTAGCGCCTTCCCCATCTTCCTTGCCCTTTCACTTGCCTCTGCGAGTTCACTCTCTGTCGGCCATGTCTGCTCCCCTGCAAGAGGGTCTGGTGTGTTGGCCACAACCAAGGGTTCACGAATGGCTGGGTCTGCCTCCGCCAACACCCTTATTTTCCCCGCGGATGCAGCTTCCACATCAATCCCCACATCGACAGCCATGTCTGCCGCCTCCCCGTTGACAGCCTTCTGTCTTTCAGCAGATTTCCCACTGCGGGGATTCAGCGGGATGGGATCGGGTGGACCCTCTATCTTTTCCATCTGGAAGTCTCCCAAACCTGAAACATGTACAAGCTGGTTCACTGAAATGGCACGACCTCTAAGGTAGCCCGAAACAAAGAGCCGGCAAGTAGAAGTTTCTGTCCCACCACCACCCTCCCGCTGCTCCCCCCCTGGTCTCTCTTTACTGCCCAACGCTGCCTCTTCCTCAGTCGCCAGAATTTCAATCTTCTCGGTGACCACATGCGGCCTTTGACTGCGCCACGACGGTGAGCTTATCCGCTGTTCCGCCACATGACGCAACATTTGCCGGCATTCATCGTTAGAATCCACCGCAAAGACTTTAACGTCACTAGTCAGCTGCCCATGAACAGCAGCTATGGCCGCCTTCTTCGCTTCCCCCATCTTCTTCCCCACAGCCTTGTTGGATCCGACAATCACACCGCACACCACAGGAAGGCCTTGAGCCCTCATCACTGTGAGGCAATCCATCCCTGACTTGTCAATGCACCCGCTGTTGGCACGCGGCACAGCTGGCACAAAAAACAGAACCATATCGGCTATCTTGACAATCTCCAGGGATCGCAGGATGTCCTTCGACGAAGCCTCGATGACGGAGACCCGTGTGCGGTGTCTTGCCATCACCAGTGTGATCAGACCTTGATCATCATAGCCCTCTTGATTCCCAGAGGTTCTCTGCTCATCTTCAATCTCATTCGCATTGTCATCATATTCCATCCAATCCTGCACCTGCTGTGCGCCATGCGCTGCAGTCGCCAGGTTGGCTTCCGCAATGTCACTGCTATCTGCAGAACACAACGACAGAAACCTCTGCTTCACACTTCGCATGTTCAGCTCCGCAGAGAGGCCGATGAGGGCCACAATCCTGGGAGCGCATCCAGACGACACACCACCTGAACGCTTCTCCTGCAACAGCTCAGCACGCTTTTGGTCTCGCAGAGTCTTTGCCCTTTGGATTCTCTGCGATTTCGCCACCTGTCGATTGGGCATCCCACCCTTGAATGGTGCCCCTCCATGCTTGATTGCTTTGAAATGTGAATTTCTCTGCCCCTTTGTTGCATACCGAGCTTTGTGTGGTTTATTCCTCTGAATCGTTCCTCCCCCCATGGCACTCTTCCCTTGGGCCCAAGGGTTCAAGAGATTACCCCTCTTCCCTATTGGGCAAGGGCCCAAAAAGCGTTACCTTCTCTCTCTAGGCTGCGAAGTTTCCCAGAAATCTTCTCAAAGACTGCAATCCAAACAGTATGCTTCACCAAACATAGCTTTACTACACTGCCTCCCCTCCATAGCCTGCCTTGAAACAGATGGGAGTACTTTAAACACCGCAGCACGCCAACGGCATGAATGGCCTGGCCTGACAATCAAGTGGAACCGCAGCGAGATTTTGTTCTTCAGCCTCAAAACAAGAGTGCTGCTGCAAATACCCAACAGCACAAGACACAAAGACAGACGACATTGTAAGGACGTGCCTCACAGTGGAAGGTCTGAGGACAGCACTTCTCCTTCTCACTCAGGTGAAGGGAACAGCACACAATGATAAGTTACGTAATGAATACTTCCGATCCATTCTTTGGCGGAACACGAAGACATGAGAAAGTCACCTCGATGCATGGTACCATCAAATGCCAAGCTTGTGAAATGCTCACAAGAGAAAGCCAGTGCGGCTGCGCCCGCACACATGGAAATATCAATGAGATGTAGCCATGTGGATGACAGGTTGAGCGCTGGCTGCCCCCATCCCCGTGTGTCACAAGGACCCACTTGCACGCAGCCAAAAGCCAAAGAGGTAAAGAAAATAGGAAGGGAACAGCCAAATAAAACAGAACAGAGGGCAACAAAACCAGTCCCAGATGACAAGTCCCCCATGCAAGCACCGCCCCTGCACCACAGGCCAAACGACGGGACAAGACCAACCAGGATGTCAAAGCATTCTTGTCTGCAAAACAATTAAAAAAAGCTCCGGTCCACAGTGTGACAACCAAAGAGAAAGAGAAGACAATCCCGGATGACGATTCCCACATACAAGCACCGCCCCGCGCTCAAAAGGCCGAACA